GACGCTCAATTTCTTGGCCTTGCGGACAAATGAAGGTTGCAGGACAGGTCCATGGACTGGATTATCCTCACCACTGGGACTGGGCTCTGGGGGCCCTGTTTTACTTCTGCTTGATCACATAGGCTGAGATCAGGCTTGGCACTGACCTCCACACCTAATCTATCATGCAGTGCTCCATGGGATGGATGACATACTGCCAAGGGTTATATCTGGCCGGCAGGCCAGGGATTGAGCACCCATGTTAGACCATTTTGTAGAGAATTGTGGGAAGGATTCTTGTGCCAGGCACAGAGACTGGATATGCCACTTGTAGCACTTTGGCTCCAGGCTGACCACTCCTGGGTCAGTTGCATTTCAGGCTCCCTTTCAGTGCTGTTAATTTCTATTTTGCATTATATTTACATTGGCATATAGTTTGTTTTTGGTTGCCTTCACTATAGCTGGATTTTCTTTTTTACTTTTTGAAAAATAACTTTTTTGGCATGAATGTAACTTTTTTCCCATAATGCTTCCGATTGAGATTAGAAATATAAAAATACTAGGTATGCTTCAGAGTGACTTTTTCAGTAGTCTGCCTACGTATGGTGTGTAAACAAAGCCCGGAAAGTTTGGGATTTTTTCTTTGCTTTCTGTTTATCATTTTAGCCTTAGAATTAAAGAAATGTAGAATTAGGGGGCTTTGTTTTTGTCTCTGTGTGTGGTTTTTATGCCCTAACTGGAAAGGGCGGACATATTTGAATCTTATGTAAAGGTATACTTTTCCTTCAGATTTGTTACAATTTTCCTTCTGCCCTTCCTATTTAGCTGAGGTTTTAGCATTTCTGCTTCCTAATATCAATCACCATTTTACTAGCTGCTTATGCTAGAGAAATTCAGGACATTTTTGTCTGCTGCCTACAGAGCAATGATGATGCAATGGTCACAAGCACGGAGAAAGTAGAAGTTGACCAGCTGAGGTTGGAGGTTTTCAGTCAGACCACTGTTCTTTTCACCAACATTATTTAACGTTGGTGATTTCCTAATATTTTTGGCAAATGACATCTTTGTAAGATTTAGTTGCTCCATTCCTTCAGCACTTGGCATTCACAATGAAATGCTTTAAGATAGCCAACAATATTAGTTGGCTGGATGGGAGGGAACAGACTTTAACCTCAAAATCCTTTCACAATTTCTTCATGCCCCAGGAATCTGAAAAAGGCACCAACCTGCTTTTTAAAATATATTTTTGAAGGTCAACTTTACTAAATAAAGCATTTGCTGGACTACATTCCTGCTGTTCCATTACATGATTAACAATAAAGATAGGAGGGGAAAATAAGGCGTTTCTGATGTGATGGGCTCATTTGGCTTTAGATCTACGTGGAAACTGATAAATGCCAAAAAAGCCCAACAAATTTCCTCATTAATATTTAATAAAACTTTATTCTCTCTCTCTTTTCCAGCAGGCTTCCTAAAATTGTCAGCAATGGAGGAAGAAGTAAGCCAAATGCAACCCCTGAATGAGAAGCAGGTGCCAAACTCAGAAGGTGGCTATGTATGGCAGGTCACTGATATGAATAGACTGCACCGTTTTTTGTGTTTTGGTTCAGAAGGTGGCACTTACTATATCGGGGAGAAGAAACTGGCCTTTGAAAATGCAGAAGCTTTAATAAGATTGATTGAAGATGGCAAAGGCTGTGATGTGGTACAGGAAATAAAGACGTTCAGCGTAGAAGGGAGGACAGCAAAACAGGAACCATTGCTTTTTGCTCTAGCAGTTTGTTCACAGTGCTCTGACGCAAAAACTAAACAAGCAGCGTTTAAGGCTGTTTCTGAAGTGTGCCGCATACCAACCCATCTCTTTACTCTCGTCCAGTTTAAAAAGGATCTGAAGGAGGGGATGAAATGTGGCATGTGGGGCCGTGCCCTGAGAAAAGCTGTTGCAGACTGGTATAACGGGAAGAATGGCATGGCTCTTGCTCTAGCAGTTACAAAATATAAACAAAGGAATGGCTGGTCTCATAAAGACCTTCTGAGGTTGTCCCATCTAAAACCCTCGAATGAAGGTAACAGTATTTTATTAATCTTTAGTAAAAACATTATGCGGTATAGTAAATGTGTTGTTTCTTGCATGTCTGTGTCTTGGAAGCTTAAATGTCACTTTGGCATGATGCTGATACTATCTTACAGATGAGAGAAGACTACAAAAGGTCATAGAAAATGTGGTCCATTTATCTTCACTCTTCAAAAGTAAACTAGTTTCTTATTACTTGTCTTGTTGCTGTTGAGGCTGGGTTGAATAGTGCTTACAATTTTTTTTTCTTTTCTCATATCACTTGGAAGATTTTATTAATACACTTATTTTTCATTATTCAGCTAGATATATTATGTGCAATTTAGATTTGACAGTGATCTTAGTTGTATGCCTCCCCTTAAGTTAAAAAAAAACCCTAGTTTTACAAATGAAAAGCAAAGACAACCTGAGAATACTCTGCTGCATGGAACTCAGGGTAAACGTAATATATATAAGCCGCAAATTGGACATCAACTTTTCAGTGCCTTTTCTGAGTAGGTTTTTCCTCGTCTTCTTCATATGTAAGTGTTTTGTGTCAAAGAGGGTAGAGGTGTTAAGAGCACACCTTATTTTATTCATTTCATAATATTTCTTTAAAAGAAACCTAAAGTATTGTGTGTTATACATGTTAACGTATTACAGTCTGCACATTTAGAGAAGTGAAACCTTAGTATGCTTCTAACTAGTTTATCTACAAGACCTACTAAACACTCTAATACTTCACCATAATCTTGAATAGAAAATATTTTTCTTTTTCAATAGGAATTGCTGTAGTCACTAAATATATCACCAAGGGATGGAAGGAAGTTCAAGAGGCATATAAAGAGAAGGCACTTTCTGCTGAGACTGAAAAACTCTTAAAATATCTGGAAGCAGTGGAAAGAGTAAAACACACAAAAGATGAATTGGAGGTTATTCATTTGATTGAAGAGTATAGTTTAGTTAGGGAGCATCTCCCAACAAACCATTTGAAATCTAAAGAGGTGGGTAAATTAGAATAGTATCATACAAGCTAGTGTTTTATAAAGCAATATTTTGTGCATCTTATGAAGTGTAAATTGCTAATGATTTATTTTTATTCCAAAGAAAACATTTTAAGGCTGAAATGATATAAGTAGTTAATATAAAGTGAGACCAAAGTGTCTATCAGTTTTAACATTTTAATATATATTTATATTTTTACTTAATGTCTTATTTACACACAAGATATGAATTTCTATACTGAGTGAAAAAATTTTATACTGAGTTTTGCTTCTCTTTTTTTACTTCCTATTCTGATACCGTATCAGGTATGGAAAGCATTGCTACAGGAAATGCCCCTTACTGCAATGTTGAGGAATTTGGGAAAGATGATAGCAAATTCAGTACTAGAACCAGGAAGCCCAGAAGTGTCACTAGTATGTGAAAGACTGAAAAATGAGAAAATGCTAAAAAAGGTATGAACTGTTTTTATCACTTGAGGCTTGTATTTGTGTGGTTTGCTATCTTTGTGGAAAAATTGGAAGATTGTGGGCTTAACTGCTCAGCAGTTCAGTGGGTGGAAAACTGGCTGCATGGTAGGACCTACAGAGTTCTCATGAACAGATCTGTGTCATCCTGACAAGAAGTGGCCAGTGGTGTCCTGAGGGGTCTGTGCCTGGACTGTTGCTTTACAACATGTTTATCAGCAATTTGGATGTGGGAGTAAAAAGCTCGCTGGCCAACTGTGCAGATGACACCAAGATATGGGGGAGCGTGGCCATGCCAGAAGATAGGTTGCAAATATAGGCAGACCTGGGCAGGCTGGAGAGTTGGGCTGACCGGTGCCAGATGAAGTTTAACACTCAGAAGTGTAAGGTGCTCCATCTGGGGGAAAACAATCCCCAACATACCTACAGGCGCAGTGGCGACAATTTGACTTGCACCCTGGCCGAAAGGGACCTAGGGGTAGTGACCGATCATTGCATAAACATAAGCTGGCAGTGCGATGCTATGGCCAGAAGGGCAGACAACACGCTGGCATGCATTAACCATTGCATCTCGTGCAAAACTAAGGAAGTAATACTCCAACTGTACTCCACACTGGTGACACCGCAGCTGGAGTACCGCATCCAGTTCTGGAAGCCACACTTGAACAAGGATGTGGAAAAACTTGAGAGGGTCCAGAGAAGAGCCACCAGTATGATCAGGTACTTGCAAGACAATCCATATGAGGATAGGCTGAGGGACATGGGCCTCTACAGCCTACAGAAGAGAAGGCTGAGAGGGGACTTGGTTGCGGCTTACCACTACAGGGTAAGTACATTAAGAACTGGGTGTACAGCTGTTCACCAGGGCAGTACATCAAGAACTGGGTGTACAGCTGTTCACCAGGGCACCCCTGGGGAAGACCAGGAGCAATGGATATGAACTCCTGCAAGGCTGGTTCAGGCTTAATTCCAGGAAAAACTCCTTCACAGTCAGGGTGTCCAGACTGTGGAATAAACTCCCTCCAGTGGTGGTGCAGTCACCTTCCCTGGAAAACTTGAAAAGCAGAATGGACAGTCACCTCACTGGGGCCCCTTGAACCCAGCTATCTTGTCCTGCCTAGTGCAGGGGGGCTGGATCCGATGACCTACAAGGTCCTTTCCAGCCCCAAATGATCTATAAGCACTCTTATGCAGTGTTTTTAATCAATTGCGCATGTTCTTCTGAGACTGTTCTAATACTGGATAACAAAGCACCACTTTTTTCAGGCTCTGGCTCAGTGTTGTTGTAAATAAATAATAATGAAAAAATACTTCAGGCTTATAAATTCACAGGTTTAATATTTCAGTTATTTACAGAAGGGTGTAAGGCCAGCAGGAGTCTAGGAGTGGAACAAGAATATGAAATGTATCTTCTTTTTTAAGGCCCCTGTACTAAGGGGAGGAACAGAGATGAAGTTGGGAGGGTAGTTGTCTGCCAGTGTAAATAAGTGGCTGAGGAGCTAAGATGGCAAGCAGAGAACCAAGGGAGGAAGAGAAGGTGGAAATAATCATTAACATAATGTACGCAAGGAAGTGGTCAGCTTTTAAAGAAATTCAGTTCCTTATCACTGCATTAAAATATTTTCCTTCTTTGTACTTATTTGTATTTTCCCATTTAGTTTTGAGATGAAACATATTCAAGGTCTTTGGTAGGTTACTTTAAAAGAAATATTAGCTTAGCCACTGTCTTGGCCACCTGAACTGAGGGACAAGGACCTAGCCAGCCTCCTGGCTTACATAGTTGGTAGGCCTATCTGGGTGGCATGCCAGATGGACACTGGCTTGTGACTTTCACAAAGGGCAGTGCTTAAGGATGCCCTTTGTGGGATGGAGGCCAGGACAGAAGGTCTCTAGGTTATTACGAAACAGGACAGCTGATAACCAACACCCAGGGAAAGGCCAATCTGCTTAATGGGTACTTCACGTCGGTCTTTTGTCAGTTCAATGGGACTGCCATGCCTAGCAAGACGTGGAATGGCCAGGGTGAGAGTGTATTTATACCCAGGATTGGTTTTGATCCTAGTAAAGGATCACTTTAGGAGGCTGGACACCTTCAAGTCATCTGGTCCTGACAGATTACACCCCAGAGTACTCAAGGAGCTGTCAGGTGTCATAGCTCAACCATTGCCAAAAATATTCAAAAACCCCTGGCACTTGGGCGAAGTACCTGACGACTGGAAGAAAACCAATGTGGTACCCATCTTCAAGAAAGGGCAGAAAGTAGGTCCTGGGAATGACAGGCCAATCAGCTTGACCTCAATCCACGGTAAGATTCTGGAGAAAATTATCAAGGAGACCCTACTGGATAAGCTGGCTGAGGGCAGCATCCTGAGGGATAGCCAGCACAGGTTTGTCACGGGTAGGTCTTGCCTGACCAATCTCATCTTCTTCTATGTCCAGGTGACATATCACCTGGACAAGGGAGAAGAGATTGACATCATATATCTGGACTTTAAAAAGCTTTTGATCTGGTGTCCCATGACCTCCTCATGGAAAAATTGTCCAACTGTGGCCTCAGCTACACCACAGTTTGATGGCTGGGAAATTGGCTCCGAGGTCAGACCCAGAGAGTAGTGGTTGATGGTAGTGAATCGTTATAGCGCTCTGTGAACAGTGGTGTTCCCCAAGGATCTGTCCTTGGACCGGTTCTCTTTAACATCTTTATCAACAATATGGACATGGGTATTAGAAGCACGCTGGCTAAGTTCACCAATGAGATTAAACTTTGAGGCATAGCGTCCGCTAGCCTGTCCTCAGGTTTGATCCAGGCTGACTTGGATAAACTTAGTAAGTGGGCAGATACAAACCTTATGATGTTCAATACCAAAAAAGGTAAGGTACTCTACCTCGGAGGGGGGGTGTGCTACAGCAGTGCTACAGCAGTGCTACGCTTGCTAGCATCATTGCCCAAAGAGACTTGGGGGTCATGATTGACCACACGATGAACATGAGCCACCAATGCGATGTCGTAGCTGGTAAAGCAAACAAAACTTTGCTCTGCGTTCATACATGCTTCTCAAGTAAATCTCAGGATGTCATCCTCCCGCTGTACTTGGCCTTGGTGAGGCTGCAGATGGAGTACTGCATCCAATTCCGGGCTCCACAATTCAGGAAGGATGTGGAGAAGTTTGAGAGAGTCCAGAGGAGAGCCACGCGCGTGATCAGAGGATAAGAGAACAGGCCTTATGAAGAGAGGCTGAGAGCCATGGGACTCTTCAGATTTGAAAGGGGTTTGAACTGTAATTGGGATGGGTCAGAGGGTTTGTTCTCTTGGCTATGGGTAAGAATGGTATGTTATGATTTTGTGTTCATTTGTGGATGAGTGGCTATAGTATTTTTTTAAAACTTGAAGCTGTAATAAAATAATCAGAAAATTGCAACCATAGTCTACCTGATGTGTTGTCTGTGTTTTTTTTTTTTTTTTTTAATACAAAAATTACAAAATTCTATGTATTTTTTTAAACCTAGCCTTTTTGATGCGTTTTGGTTGTAGGCTCGAATACATCCATTCCATGTTTTGGTTGCATTAGAGACCTATAAAGGAGAACGTGGATTCCGGGGCAAGCTTCAGTGGCATCCTGATAAGGATATTTTAGAGGCTCTTGATGCTTCATTTTACAAAACATTCAAGGTAATGGTCCATTTGTGAGTAACTCTTGTTAAAATAATTGTAAGGCTAGAATATTTTAAAACATCGTAAGTTTTTGGGGTACACATGCACTAAGGGTCTAGATTTATGACCTAAAAATATTAGTGTAAACAAGAAGCAAACAGACCATGGAAGCCTCTATAATGAGAGACCTTTACCCAGTCTAGAAAAAGAGTAAGGATTAAAGTATACTAATATACTTTATGCTAATTTAGGTTTCATGTTTTTGTAGCTTACTGTGAAGTAACAGTTTTACCTAACGTAGAGGCTGTTACTGGTTACCCACCACCTAGTAGTGAGGTACAGTAATAACAGCTGGCATCTGATTTAACTTGCATAAGACACATGTTATGCAAGGAACAATCTTGGGTTCGATCAGGTTTGTTCAATCTTAGCAAACCTGACTAAAACCATTAGAAAGTTTGCCCTTACTACTTTGTCAGTTCCTTTTTCTTCTCAAACTGCATATGGGTTTGAAATAGAGGTGCACCCATACATCGGTCCCATATCGGATCGGCACAGATATAGATTGGACATCCGCAAAAACTACTTCACAGTTAGGGCGGCTAGGAGCTGGAACCAACTTCCAAGGGAAGTGGTGCTGGCCCCTACCCTGGGGGTCTTTAAGAAGAGGCTGGATGCCTACCTGGCTGGACTCATTTGAGTCCCGTTTCTTGTTTTGGGGTTTTGTTGTTCTCCTGCCCTGGCGGGGGGTCGGGCTAGAAGATCTACTAGGTCCCTTCCGACCCTAAATCTATGAAACTATAAAGAAAATTGACATCAGCAACAGGTTTTTTTTGGCTGATGTGGCTGATAATGTTGCTGATAAATGCCCAGTGAATGCGCCCAGCCGCAGCACAGCATGCAGGCATCCAGGAGCGCAGCCTCGCACCGTGGAAAGCAGCCAGCTCCAGCTGGTATGTCTTGCGAGGGAAGTGGTGTGGTGGGGGAAATCAAGGCCCGCAGTGAAGGAGGCGCTGGGGCAGGGGCAGGCATTGCACAGCTGGCGCGGGGTGCAGGACAGAGCTTTGAGTGGCTTTTCTGGTAGGAATTGGGGGGATATGGCTCCCACCACTGGGCACCCCGTGGGGGCATGTGCCCACGCATCTGCATGTGGGGCAAGGATGGGCTGCCACTGGGAGGGGGATTTGGGGGGACTACGGTGAATTTGGAGGTGGGCACAGCTGCTCCCCCGTATAGCCCTGCTTCTAGCGCCGCCGCTGTCCACCCTGAGCCTATCCCACTGGGAAGAGCTTGGCGCTGCCCCAAGAGCAGCCCACCGTCACCCCATGCACAGATCCAGAAGCATGCACCCCCCCATGCCGTCCTGGGGTGCGCGCAGTGGTAGGAGCCGCACCCTCCTTGCACTCCCAGACATGGCGCTGGTGGGTCTGTCCTGCCCCAGCCCCACCCTCTCCCTCACCGCGGGGGCATCTCTGTCCCCCCAACGCGTCTTCCTTCACCCCTTTTCCTCATAACAGACTTACCAGTCAGACATCTCTCCCCACGCTGCCTGGCTGCAAGTCAGAATTGGATCATTATTGCCCGATGTGGCTGGCTAAAAATTGGCCATCGGTATCCACCCAAAAAATCTCTGTTGGTGCACCCCTAGTTTGAAAAGTTAGAGGGATTTTCTTTTTTTTGAGTGACAAGCTATCTAGTATCTGTTTTAATAGCTGTGGGTTTGTTTTTTAAAACAGATTGATATTATCTGAAAAGAGAGGAGGAAATAATTTGACTTCCTCAATTGCTTTTAAATGTATTGATGGAGTAACTTAGTTGAGGACCAGAAATTCCATATACATAGCAAAATGCGGACTTATGGTATTTCTTTATCCATTCTAGATGGTAGAACCAACAGGAAAGCGCTTCATACTTGCAGTTGATGTCAGTGGTTCCATGTCACAGAAAATTCTTGGTAGTGTGATAGATGCTAGTACAGCTGCTGCAGCAATGTGTATGGTAAGAAATTGATTAGTTGGATTAATTTTCCTGAATTCTTTACCATTCATAATCCAGTGTGCTGAGGTAGTTGTCATTGCTCTTCTTACTTTTAAAGTTGCCACTAGATGTTTCTACCTCACAGGGGAAATCTGTGCTTGATGCGCTGAAAGTGGCTCCTGTACCAGCCCTCCTGCAGGTCCTTTTATGCCCATGAGGCCTTTAGTAACCAGATTCAATAAGAGTAAGCATTGTGCTAAGCTGGTCCCTACCATAATCTGGCAGTCTTCAGGCTACTTTTGTTTGTTCTACTTATTCAGGCTACTTTGTTTGTTCTATTTATTCTAGTGCTTCCTAATATCTATCCTAAACACCTCATCAAATATCGCCTGGGCCCAAATAATTCCCTACCCCTGACTTAATTGGAATTTTAACATAGGAAGCCTGAGAGCTGTCTTTGAGGTAAAATTATATAACCTCTTGTTTTTTAAGGTTTTAAAAAGTTTTCCCTCTTGTTTTTATGGGATGAGTTAAAACCTGTGCTGAAGGATTTTTTTTCTGTGCCCGTTGGAGGCAATGGTTCTGTTTTGCCTCTTTTTTGTAAATTTGAACTTTAAATTAGTTTTGTGTTTAAGTTACAGAATTTTTCTGCATTTAAAAATATACTAGTTTCTCTTAAAGGGTGAACAAAAAAAATCAAGTTTTACTAATAGAAGCTAAAAGCTAAGTGTGTGTGTGCTTGTGTAGAGAGAGAGTGAGTGATTAGACTTCCCAATTATTTATTTAAGATCTTCACAGGATGTAGAAGAATGTGGGGAACTTTTGTAAACGCAGCATTGAGTCCAGGTGTTAACCTTGCTTTCTTAGAGGTTGGTGGATCCAGAGGGAGTACAGTGGTGCAGCTGCATCTCCCTTTTTGGATTGAAGTACACTATGGGAGTCTCTGAAAACGTTTAAGTCATAGAATCATAGAAAGTTAGGGTTGGAAGGGACTTCAGGAGGTCATCTAGTCCAACCTCCTGCTCAAAGCAAGACCATCCTCAACTAGATCATCCCAGCCAAAACTTTACCTCCAAGGATGGAGTTTCCACCACCTCTCCAGGTAACGTGTTCCAGTGTTGTACTATCCTCCTAGTGAGAAAATTCTTCCTAATATCTAACATAAACTTCCCTTACTATAACTTGAGACCACTGCTCCTTGTTCTGTCATCTGCCACCACTGGGAACAGTCTAGCTCCATCCTCTTTTAAACACCCCTTCAGGTAGTTGAAGGCTGCTATTAAGTCCTCTCAGTCTCCTCTTCTCTAGACTAAATAAAAAGCCCAGTTTCCTTATCAAAAGCCTTGCTAAAATCAAGGTACACCACATCCACCAGTCTCCCTGCATCCACAGAGCCAGTCACCTCATCACAGAAAGCAATCAGGTTGGTCAGGCATGACTTGCCCCTGGTGAATCCATGCTTACCTGTCCTAATAACCTTGTTCTTCTCCAAGTGTTTAGAAATGGATTCTTTGAGGATCTGCTCCATGATTTTTCCTAGGACTGAGGTGAGGCTGCCTAGTCTGTAGTTCCCTAGATCATCCTTCCCTTTCTTAAATATGGGCACTATGTTTGCCCTTTTCCAATTATCTGGAACCTCTCCTGGTCACAATGAGTTTTCAAATATGATGGCCAATGGCTCTGCAGTCACATCAGCCAACTCCCTCAGCACCCACGGGTGCATCCTATCCAGCCCCATGGGCTTATACACATCCAGCTTTTCTAAGTAGTCCCTAACGTGTTCTTTCACCAGGGAGGGCTGCTCACCTGCTCCCGAAACCATGCTGCCTCATGCAGTAATCTGGGAACTGACCTTGCTTGTGAAGACTTGGGAGAAGAAGGCATTGAGCACTTCAGCCTTTTTTGCATCCTCTGTCTCAAGGTTGCCTCTCCCACTCAGTAAGGGACCCACAGTTTCCTTGATCCTTCTCCTGCTACTGACATAGTTATAGAAACCTTTCCTGTTACCCTTCATATCCCTTGCTAGCTGCAACTCCAGTTGCACTTTGGCCTTCCTGACTTCATCCCAGCATGCCCAAGCAGTGCTCTTACATCTTTCCTAGTTATTTGTCTAAGTTTCCACTTCTTATAAGCTTCCTTTTTGTGATTTAGTTTACTGAAAAGTTCCCTGCTCAGCCAAGCTGGTCTTCTGCCATGTTTGCTAGAATTCCTGCGCATCAAGATGGTTTGTTCCTGCACTCTCAGTAAGGCTTCTTTGAAGTACAACCAGCTCTCTTGGATCCATATTCCCCTCAGACTGGTTTCCCAGGGCATCGTGCCCATGAGTTCCCCGAATGAGTTGAAGTCTGCTTTTCTGAAGTCGAGGGTCCTTACTGTGTTGCTTTCCATCTTTCCTTTTCTCAGGCCCTTTAAAGCAGGTGAACTCTTCCTTCACCCCTTCCCCTTGATGCTCAGAGGCACCTCCCCTCCCCTCCACTTCCCTTTCCACCTGCTGCTGCTTTTCCCACTGTCCCTGGGGCGGGAATACTCCAAAGCTGCTTCTGCCTGCCCCAGCCAGGCTACGAGGTGCTGTGCTCAACTGGAGATGGGGCAGCAGCAACAATACTGTGGAAGAACAGTTTTCCCCCTCCCTGCCTTGCCCCTTGGGAGCAGGCATGCAGGGGGTGGGAAGGGGCAGAACCCCCCCATCGATTTTAGTTGCTGCAGTCCCGCCACTGGCTCCAGCTGAGTCCTGCCCTTTTGCAGCTTGGCTGGGGCAGGCATAAGGGTTTCTGGAGCTTCCCTTGGGACACCAGGGAAAGCAGCAGTGTGGTAGGTGAGGGAGGGGCAGAAGGGATGGGGAGAAGACATGCCTTTTACCATGAAGGGTAAGAGGAGCAGGATTTAAAAAGTTCCTGGAGGGTCTTGTAGTGCTGGCAGGGAGAGTTGGCATTACAGGGGATGCAGACACCCCTGCAGTGTGGGTTGCTGCTCCTGTGCCCTCCTTTGGGATATCTTAGATCCATCTCTGCTACTTCGGGCTTGGGTTTGCAGCATGTCCATATGGTGGATGTAATTTGGTATTTGGGTGTTTTGTGTGTTCATTAGACACTAATTTTAACGGCTAAACATGTACATGTACTGCAAATTGTTATTATTGCAATATTTGAATTTTTTTTTTTATTATTCCTAGGTTGTTGCACGTACTGAGAGAGATTCCCATATTGTTGCTTTTTCCGGTGAAATGGTCCCCTGTCCAGTGACAGTAGACATGACATTACCTCAAGTATTAGAGGCAATGTCTACAGTATGTAAAAACTTTTACTTCTGTTGCAGTGTGGTGGGAGTGGTGATGATGATAAATTGTTTCTTCATTTTTGACAATCATGAAAATGGCTTAGAGGTGCACTGCTGCATCGGTCCGTATTGTATCGGCACCGACAAAAGGAAATTTGACATAATCAGCAGTCGGCTTTTTTTGGCTGATGTGACTGATAATGTCACGGATAAATGCCGCGTGTATGCACATAGCCGCAGCATGCATGTGGCCAGGAGTGCAGCCTGCCAGCCTGGAGAGCAGTATCTGGCTGGTAAGTCTGTTGTGGGGAAAAGAGTGTGGGGGGCAGATCGAGGCACCCCCACGGTGAGGGAGGGAGTGAGGCTAGGGCAGGCGCTGCTCAGCTGGGGTGGGACGGGGCACAGAATTGAGTTGACAGCTTGTCCGGTAGGTGGTTGCTGCCGCTCCCCACATCCTCACAGGAGGCAATAGGGGCATGTTGTTGTCTGCAAAGGGCATACAGTGTGAATTAAAACCAGTTCAGAATCTTCTCAGGGGATAAGGCACAACACCGCATTTGTTAAAATATAAAACATACAGCATGAAAAGAATTAAAAAAAAAAAAAACCCAGTAAGGTTATCTGCTTCGCTCATTCCCATACATATTTATCCATTCATTCATTCATTCATAGAAAAAACCAAACACACACACAGGTAGTTAGACAGTCCTGAAAAGGTTAAGGTGTTACCAAGTTCTAAAGATGCTCGGGTTAGTCTGGTGGCCAGCCAGACTGACCACGAGGAATGGAGTCAGGTCTTGTTGGATGTGTCCAACACTCTTTCTTGCAGGTGGACAGACCCAAAGTCTTTTCTTTGTTTTCATTCTTCATAGTGATAGCTGCCCATACAAGCCTATGGATTCCACTGAGTCAGACGCGAAGGTCATCTTCCTTGTCCTGCTGGCAGGCTGGGATAGGTAGGATGTGATCTTCCAGGTTTGCGGTTTGCAATCTTTAGGGGGGTCATAGCTTGTAGTGTTCAGCCGTCAGGGTGAAGGCATAATTTAGTATTTTGTAAGCCTTGACTGCTGACTCTACGTTGTTGCAACCTTAAACTGTTAAACCACAGAAGGCTACTTTCACCTGCTGTGAGACGACTGTCTTCCTTCACATTGTGACATACAGACATCATTCATTCTTTCATTACCTCTTGTCAAACATGCCAGACATACCACAGACCTTACATAAGCATTTTTCTTATGCCAAATTTAAGTTTCAAAATCATAAGACCAATAGGTCAAATATATTTATGCTAAGCAATAGGAAATTTAAAATATAGATGGTTAATTCCAGAACAATAGTGACTGATTAAAATATTATGGGAAGTAAATCGTAACAAGATTAACTTTATCTTAAGGGCTAAATAATTCATTATAAAAGATAGCAATATAAGTAATTAAAGCAATTATAGCTACTGCAATACAACAATGTGCCCTGCAGATCTGTGTGTAGGGCGAGGGTGGGCTGCCTGCTATGCACTTGGGACTGGGGCTGCTGTAGTCTCTTCCCACTGCTTGCTCTTGGGACGGGGTATGCAGTAGTGGTGCTGGGAGGTGGGGGTATGGTGAATTTTGGGGTGGCTCTAGCCCCACCCTTTCGCTCCCCTCTCAGCACTGCAGCCACTGCCCACCCTGCTTGGCCCAAGCACAGCCACCATGAAGAGGCTGGAGTAGCCTAGGCCCTCAGCCCAAAATGAACAGCCTGCCTTTCCCTGTGCACAGATCTGAGGGAGGCATGTGCCCCCCTTGCGTCTCCCTGGGATGCATGCAGCGGCGGAAGCCACACCGCAGGTCAAGCTGCCATCTTCATTCCGTGCCCTGCCGTACCCTGGCTGTGCCACACCTGCCCCTGCCTCGGCCCTGGCCCACTCCCTCCCTCACCGCAGGGGCCTCAATCTACGCTCCCCACACCCCTCCTCTAACAGACTTACCAGCTGGATGGTGCTTTGTATGCTGCTGGGCTGCAGCTTGGTAGTCAGATTGGAATCAGCCATAGTTATTTTCATAGTTAATTGTAATATTGACTTCAGTCTATGCCGGGGGTTTATAGATAGGAACCTACCAGATTCACGGCAGAAGTGGAGTATACGGCAGCTCCTTTAATCTTTTACGTTTCCCCCATGTGCCCCTTTTCGTCCTCCCCCCCTCCACCGTTGATTGGCAGAGGGGCCTCACTGCTCCCTCTTGATCGGCAAAGAAGCGAAAACCACGGTTTTAAACATGGTGTGGTTTTTGCCTCCCTGCTAGTCAGCAACAAGGATCGGGGCACTTGGGCAATCAGCAGCGGGAGCCATAAGCGGCGCCATAGTTAAAACCACAGTTTTTGTTTCTCTACCAATCAGAAGCTAGATGCAAACGTGCCCCTTTCACCAGTCAGCAGTGGAGGGGCACACAGGGAAGCCTGCAAGATTAAAACAGGTGCCACGCACCCTACTTCTGCCATGAATTTGGTAGGTCTGTATTTATAGAATATTATTTCCTCCCCGCTGTGCCCCTTCTTTGGTATATCTCACTTAGTTTATTTTTACAACATGTCCAGTAAATTAGATAATTTTTTCCATGTCACTTAGCTCTAAATAAATTTGAGATGAGTAGCTTAAAAGAAATGGATGGATGCAAGGTAAAATGGATGGTGGAGATGCAGGATATTTTTGCATATAATATTACTCAGAACATAATATTTTATTTCTTCAAAGCAATATATAAACAATTATCTTAATATTTTCAGTTCTTTATAATTGCAGCACTGTCCTAAGTCTTATTTTTTCAGTGCTGCTACATTGTACTTTATAACATATATGCTATACATTTTATTAGGCTGAGGTGAGTTAGCACTTCCTAAATTCCACCTAATTCAGTGAAATGACCTCACTCACTGCAGTGGAGTTATTGGCTTCTGAATAAGTAGTCAAATTCTAAACCTCAGTCCTGCAATGTAATTTGCACAAATAGACTAAAGCTTCATTAACATCAATGACGTGCATTTTGCATTGCAGGGTAGAACCTATTTATGTTGTCCTTAATCTTTGGGAAGAGAGTTTCATGGACTGTTTTAGTCATGAGAGGTTGTGTTGCTGTTTTTTAATTGTTCTTGCTATATTAACTTATTGTTTTACTATACTTTATCTGCTCATTTCCAATTTGTTTGTCACTAAAGGAAAAAAACCCTTTTAAGCTCAGTTTATCAAGTGTTACATATTCTTTAACATATTTATTTCCATAATTGTGCAGTTAATGGCAGTACAAAATTGGTCCAGTGAATGGTACCTTTTGTAAGCAGAGTTTGGGAAGTTTCTTAAGTTTTTGTTTTTCTGTTGTTAGATTACTATGACATTTCCAGAATATTACAGTGCAGTTCATAATATTTGTATGCATTTTTAGATTGAAATGGGTGCCACTGATTGTGCTCTCCCAATGATATGGGCTGAAAAGACTAACACAGCTGCTGATATCTTTATTGTTTATACTGATAATGAGACGTACTTTGGAGATATTCACCCTGCAGTTGCTTTGAGGAAATACAGAGAGGTAAATATTCTTTCCTAAAATGATACTGAGCCAATAGTTAATGAAAATAGTGTGCAGAGGCTTCTTTTAAAGAGAGGAATATTTGTGGTTTATGTAAATGTATTAGGCTTTATATTTCGGAAAAAGTATTAGAGTCTGCATACACTGAGGCAGAAATTAACAGCACTACTTACAAACAAACATATTTTTAAAAAACAATAAGGACTGGAATTACTTGCATGTGATTTTCCATCATGAATATTGATGGCCTGATATTAATATCCTGCATTTAGGTTTTTGTAACAATAGTTAATGTATGTAGTATTCAGTGAATTTATAAACTCCTACTGCTACATGCTGAGAGTTCTTTTTTGCAGTGGGGATTCTCTTCAAGCAAAACAAGTGAAATTCCGGTTTTCCTCCCTGCTCTGCAGTGGAACTGAATGTGTTAGCAAAGCACAGAGCAATATACAAATAGCCACCTGAGTGAAATTATGGGAGTCTGCAAAGGAAGTAGTGCCACAGGAATGCAAACCCATTGAAGTCAGAGTTTATTTTCCTCCCAGAAGGGAGGCTACTGAAGTTATGAGCAGTGCATGCTACTAGTGCTCAGCAGTTTTGCTGATCTCTTGAGCTCTGACAGTTTTCTCCTCCTGATCCCACTCAGTGACATTTCACTTAAAATGAATTGAAATTAAAGAATAACTTTTGTAAACATATTCCTGTGCAACAAAACTTCATTCAAATTCTGAACATAATTTTTTGATATTCCAAGTCATATACCTGTATACTTTTGTCATTTAACACCTTGTGCTTTTCTGCAACTGGTACAGAGAAGGGTGTAAAAATGTTTTACAAACACAGATATATTAAGAGTTACTCTCCATATCCTTGTTAAGTAACCATCACTCTCTCTCATGCAGGTGTGTGAAACTGAGATGGGTATTTTGAACAACCTGCCCAAACTAATTTAGGAAGCTGGTGGGAAAGGACAAATTTGTGGCTCCCAGAGTTATTTTTTTTAGATATAAATTTGTTCTTGCCCACTTGATATGACCATCATGACTGATAATAATAGACCCTTAAACATTTACATTTTGTTTAGGCTATATTTTATTTCTATATTAAATGGCCTGCTTAGAAGTACTTTTATAAGATTTATACCTATCTTTATGCCTTCTGTGGTATTTAAAGGCAACATATTGCAGTTACCTCAGTTTTATTGACATCAGACTGAGGTCTGGTTTAAAAAAATACTAAGGGCCAGATTTTGAAGTCTTTGCTTGGGGAATCTCTGGCTTTCATCAGCTTCGCTGGTGTAAGGACAACATAATTGATTTCCAGATAATTATTAATTTGCTGTATAGGTGTACATTCTCAAAGTGTTTTATCTGCTTTCCTTTCTGCCTCTAGAAGATGAGCATTCCAGCAAAACTGATCGTTTGTGGAATGGCATCAAATGGTTTTACCATCGCAGATCCAGATGATAGAGGCATGTTGGACATATGTGGCTTTGACGCAGGAGCTCTTGAAGTTATTCGAAACTTCACTTTAGATTTGATATAATTCCTGGATACCTATTACCAGTGGGTCCATTGCTGGCAATAGATTTCACCCTGGGAACTACCAGCCAAATGTACTGTACTAGAAGATGGTACATGATTCACGTATAAGAATAATGTTGCCTTCTAAAACAGAAATCAAAAAAAGAATCATACAAGAATTTTCTTTTTTTCTGTTGCATACAGGTTAAAAATAACTACACAAATCCTGCTAAGACTAGCTACTGGGGTACATAGTATATGATTTAATTACTTTATAGTTTGCCAGTACTAACATGTTTTTCTGTCCTTGCAGACTATTTTTTTAGTTTTTTTTGTAAGAATAAATTGGTGAGAGACCACTGGTATTGCTGGGTTCAAGGAGGAAGGAAAAGTAGCTTGTTTTGATGGCTCTTGTAAAGGTGTTTGTTTAATGAGGGGTTTTTCATGTTTGTATTTGAAAAGATTAAGATGCAACATCTCTATTCAATTTTGCAAAGGAAATATTTTCAGAGCACATTTGACCATGTTACTGTGATTGGGTACAAAAATACTTGTCTAATTTTATATGGACAAAGTAAAACTGACAATTTTGATTTATCTTTTCTAAATAGATTGTGATTTTGATCTTCTAGAATGAAATCTGTAACTATCTGGTAAATTGAAAGGCAGTGCTATGGATTGCAAAGTTAATTAACACTGTTGTAAAATTGGTATGCTTTGCAGGAAATAGTACAAACCCTTTGTAGTAGAGAAAAGGTCCCTGAAGTTGTTTAGGTTGCTCATCTGATGTGAATGTGCTGAAGTTTCGGCAGTTTCTCAGTGACGAAGATGGACAGAGACCCTGGAATTAGCATTACCCTCAAGTGTGATTGTAACAATTGAAACGAACTTCACTGCGTGTTTTTCTTCCTCTTCCCTCCCGCCCCCCACAAATGTGTTGATGCTACAGAAATAATCATCTTGAATAGTGCTTTGCAATATTTAAAAGTGACCTTTTTTCTCTGATATTTACTGATTAGATTGACTCAGTCTAACTTTTTAAAACAGTTTTAGTTCTTATAGTGACCGATTCTGAGACTTCTGCATTATATAGCTGCCTTGTTCACAATTCCAAAGTCTGTCTTGTTTAGAAATTTGATTGCCAACTAGATTTTTAAACTTTCTTGTGATAAGAAACATGTAAGGGAGAAAATAACTGAGAATGTCCCAACTCTGTCTTAGAGGAGGAATGAATAATGTGTGCATAAATGTAATGAAATGTTTTTTTTTTGATGTCACATACTAAGATACATAGGGGATTTGGTCATAGTTTTACATTTTCCCCTAAATTGTATGATCATATCTCCCACTAAGGGTAATTGTTTTAAAAGCTGAATTTGTATTTAATCTGAAAATGATTGCAGTTTATAAAAATAATTTAATTATAATAAATACTACATCAAACTTCGTTGCTGTGCTACAAAACTTGCTCGTAAGTGTAAAACATGTTGCAATTTAAATAGTAAATTAAATTCTTGTTGCTTAACTCATTTTCATATGTTTAAAATATAAAGAAATGAGGGTTAAAAATAGTGTTTTGCAGGGTAAGCTATCTTCCATCTTCAGACATTATTTAACATTTATAGCTACATGCCCCATGCTTAGTGCTTCAGTTTGTGAGATGTCACTGAAGACATCATACCACCTATTAATATGCTTGGCACGGGATAAATCGGGGTGGTGAGGAAACCCACTGGCATGAATTTGTACAGGCCCGTTGCCTGAGCTGTTTTTCAAATAATGGTATTTTGAAAAATTGCCAGTTGAAACAGTGGCTTTCCATCAAAGTGAATGAGTTGTAGATTATCAATTAGTAATGCCATAGGGATGGGATACAATTTATAGAATGCAGGACCACTGCTCATTAGGTTACATGAACCCCCCCCCCCCCAAAAAAAAAAGAACTAACAAAAGAAACCCCCCCGTTACCTACATAGAAAGTCAACAGTTGTACTAACAGTTCAGTGCAGTTCTTTTGCAAACTTGTGATAACTAAAAAGATTTGACTGAACTAGTGGCTTTAGTTACAGATGAAGAGTGAAGAATTAACTGATTCAGAATATTTGAAAATAGTCCAATTTTGGAATACAAACCCTTGGATTAGATACGCAGGGTCAAGATAAATTTTCAGTATAGCTGATAGGAAATTTAATTACACTATGACTATTATTATTATTATATTTCGGAGAGAGATGTACGACATTCCAGGTCATAGTAATGCAAAACATGGTGACTAGATGGAGTGAATAATATGATCCTAAGCTTGTTTTCTCTATTTAAAAGATACAAATATAATACATTGCTTGATTTTTACTTGGTGTTGATTGTTGTGACATGAAACAAACTGCTACAAATAGGACCAGATTGCTCCCTATATCCTACTTTTGGCAAAAGAGCAGGGGTGAGGAGGTTTGTTGCTTCCTTCCATGGAAATGGTAAGGTTCTTTACGGAAACACACACCTTTTGGAACCATTTAGACACTGGGGCTACTTTAAAGGCGTGAAAAATGAAACAAAACTAAAC